TTAATTAAAACTAATGTATTCAAGAATTTTTTGTTTCCATTTTGTAATTACATTCAATATATGTAACAAAGGTTAGTGTTATATAAATGGATGGCCTGTTAAACTATTTCAATAAATTAAAACCATAAATGTGTTGTATGTTTATTTCTTATCGTATATTGTCAGATGATATCAAAGAAATAGATACATGTTAACGTTAGAAAATACCTCAAGATTTCTTTACGTAGATACCCTACATTTTTATGAGTCTGTTGATTGCAATAAATTGTTGTTAAATGTCCTTTATAATGACTACAAGAACTAAAGTAAAATTATTCGCCGCTGTTTAAAAATACAAACCATATCATATAAAATAAACACAATAATTTTCCAATTCTGGTAAGGGGTTGATATTTTATCAGAATATGGGCTTAAATTTTTCTGCCGAAAATTTCAATTTCTTCACATTTTTATGGCTAACATATTTCTAATTATATACTTAAACTTGTTTTTCATTTTTATAAATGCATAATGCAGAATTTTGAATAAATTGACAATTGACAGTAAATTATAAATTTATAGAATCTGGAATGATTTCTGTTTAAGCAATATGTTTATTCTTTTAAATTTCATAATGCCCATTTCCACCACAGTTTTTTTTTAACTATTACATGGTAGATGAGCTAGAATTTCTAAAAAAATCCTTACAACAAGGTCTTTCTAAAAATTGAGATTGTACAATTTTAAATGAAATAATGAAAATCCATAACGTTTAGTTTAAAAAATGTGTTATACTCTATTTTTTTGTACCAAATAAATAACTGAATACTAACTTCAGAATTTTTTTTCAGTAGATCTTTTTGACTTTTCTTTCAGCTTTTTTTAAACATCTGTTGATGATTAAGATTTGTTTCTTTCTTTTTACTACTTGCGATTTCTGTTTTAACAACCTTTCTTTCTGTTTTCTTACTCAAAATTTATCTATTTCTTTATTTTTTCAACTTTCCCCATTATTGTTTTTTTAAGCAATTCCTTAGCTTTTACCTTCTTCTCATATTGCCCTTATTTCTCAAGCTGAATCCAGTCATCAGCAGTAAGTATAGTAGTCTTTTTTTGCATTTCTTCTTTTCTGTTTGTCTAAATAACCATCTAATGTCGATGCCAGTGGAGCAGTTTTTCTAGGAATTTTTGTGAATTGGATGACCAATATGTTTTCAGATCATAAGTATCGTTATCCACCAATGTTTCTTAAAAAAATGCATACTAAATAAGCTATAAGATTTTAAATGAAATCCTACTAACAAGGTCTTCTTAAAAATTGAAATTGAGCAAAAAATTAACTTTTTAATTATTTTCACTTCTCAATTATATAATTTTTTCAATCTGTGCGGCCAATTTAATTTATAATATAAAAACCTTATCTCTGCCAAAATCTCAATTCGAAGCGAAATAGTGTTGTGTAAGTTCCCTCAAATTTAAAACCCTGTCATTGTTTATATCCAAAGGAATTAGCAAAAGACAAAGCAAATTAAAACGTGTTGTGTCACTTGTGCTTTCAAGATTGCATTACAAACCCACCACAAGGATCAGACTCATTATCATTATTACAAAACCTTATACCTATCATAATTACACGATGTCGAGGATGGTAATAATTATGAAAAAAAATTGTACCAGTATCCAAGTTCGCAACTAGACAAAGTGCATGGTTCGTTGCCCGTGAAGTGGAAATGGTAATATCTCCTATCAAAGCCTTCTCTCTGCATTTTGCAGACTAGTTCAGTGCTTGCGAACAGCTGATGAGTACCGCGCCGAAGAAGTCCATCCAGAGCGCGTAAATCGCGACGTTTGAAAATTTTTTCCCAGGACAGACATTTCCAGTGAAAATGTGCAATGAAATAAGGGAAATGTGTTGTAAATGTAAAGACGCGATTGACTGTGGAGGTGTTGATATGTCCTGTGGTATATAAATGGGTCTTAAAGAAACGTCAATTGGTCATGCGGGGCATGTTTTCGCGGTTTTTTATAACCGCGTGGATACTATTCGGAACTGTGCTCAATCTTCAGGTTTGTGAGTTTTTTTTAATTAAAGACAAGAAGCTGTGGTTGTACAAGATTTTGTGGTCGCTTTTTTATTGAAAATGGGAATTCCTGTTGCAAATGATGTATAATTAATTGTTCAACTAATTGTTAGATATATTACGAAAAAGTAAGAATAAGAATAAAAATGAACGTATGACATAAGTGTTTAATTTTTTATTTATTTCTTCACATCTGTATTCAAATTTCTTTTTTTTAATTTTGTTAACTTAAATATTTGAAGACATACTAATGTATTTATTTAATGTTTTATTTATTTTCATTTAGTACTAAAACTATTGTGCAACTAAACAAGTTTTTTTTTCTTTTATGTATATCGAAAACATCGAAAAAAAATTACTATAAACTCTTCTAGCAATCGACACCGTATGTTATAAAAACTTTTTTAAATTGTTTAAATACAACTTAAATGTTGTAGATGCATTCTCTAATGAGTTTTAATTCATAAAATGAGCAGGAAAGATGTTGTAATTACAAATTTTAATTATAAGGTTAACACAATTAATTAATTATTAAAATTATATTAAAATTAATAAATTAAAAATAATATCATCAATTAAATTTTGCAAGTCGTTGCTAGAATGCGGAACTAAAATAATATATTTTAACAATTCCGATTAAATTTCCATTTTAAAAATTACTCTTGAATTGATTATTTGTCTACAAAAAAAATAGATGATGCCATCTTAATACCTTCTAATATATAGGTAACCTGTTTCTACTCAAAGCCTAAAATACTATTTTTTACGCTTCTTTGATGATGAGTAAAAGATCTCAATTTGTAAGGCATTGAAATATTGATTTTTCATTTTTTAAATTGCACAAGTACCTAAATCGATGAAACTTTTTGTCTGTATTCTTTTCATAAATCTACATTTGTTCCACAACAGACAAACTTGTCCAACCGTATCAAGTCTGTAAATTTGCATTTATTTTTAATTATGTCGGTATTCAATTTGTTTATAAATAAAACACAAAAAACCCAGTAGTTTTTAATACACTTTTACCCAGAAATATTACTTCATGATATTATTTACTCAAGAATGTGCAAATAATAGAGACGAAATAGAAATTTTAGTTTCAAGTTCTTTTTGTAATTTCAGAATATTTAACCTTTCACTAGTTTCAGTTCCTTACGGATATTACATTTCCACGACAATATAAAAAAATGTAAATTAGAAAAAAGCAAATGTTGCAAAGAAATTCACTATTTCTAAAGGACATCTGCACCAAGCCTAAATTTAGAGGTGGATATTGACACAGAACCCAATAAAGGATGAAAAATATTTTAGTGTTAATTTGGTCATTTAGATTTCCTGTACTAAGTAAAGGAAAATAGTGTTTACACAAATTACTACACTAGAAACAATTCACACTAGGTAGAAATTTGTTCTTGTATGTACAATTTCCTTGCAATTAAAGTTTTAATTTTTCTACAGTGTTAAAAATAGCTTCATATACCAGTATTCCAATTTTTTCCATGTTTCATGGTTAATGTTCGCGACTTTTATCGCTCTGTACACTCTTTAAGTGTCTATAACCCTATTAATTTTTTCTTAAAGCGTTTGACCTTTTTATTTAGTTCTTCTCTAGCTGTAGTCACATCTTTACAAAAAATTAAAATTGTGTTCTTTTTTAAAAAGTAATACAAAACAGTTTTTGCAATGTTACATTTATCCCCATATACAGTGTCGTGTCTCATAACAATGGAAGCGCCTATATTTTGTTCGGAAGATTTCTTCCTTAAGCGCTAATTCAGTTATTCAACACTCCAATGTAGATAGGAGGAAAAATTAATATAATATCCTGTTTAAACTATGAACCAAAATGATTGCTTGAGAAGTTTTAGATGAGACACTCTGTATGGAGTTTGTTTGTAGTGTTTTACGGAAAAGAAGAAGTTTAAAAAAAATTGAACGTATTTTAAAGTCGTATTAAAATTAAAAAGTAGATTTTTCATAATTATCTTGACGTCAAGTTTTCAAATATTTCTTGTCCATAAGAAAATTGACTTTAACTTTTTAATAAAGAAGTGTATTAAAAATTCAAAAATTTTCACTGCTGTAAATGTGTAGATTTAAACATTTAAAGTAATTTGTATAACTAAAGAACTTTGTTCTTTGATTTTTATGAACTTATTTCTTCATTGGTAAATTAACAATATTTTTACTAACTAACTGAAACAGTTGTAGCATTTTTCTTTTATTGTGTGTTTAAGCACCAAGTATCGACATTCTTTAAATTTTCTCGTTGAAACTTTTACCCACGGCAGAATAGTCGGACAAGGTCAGAAACCTGAACTGATTTTTTGATAAGTGTAAATAGAAAGCCATATGTAAGAAAAATTATCATTCAACTAGATTAGGAGAAGGCAAATGTATGACAATCCAAGGTTGATTCACATTCACCCAAATAATATCTCAATTGCCGATCCCTTACCAAATACACCTTTCCTATTATTTCTTTCAATAACTTTGCTATAAGGAAGTGTAAATTTCAGATGATGAGAAAATAATTGTAACGATGCTTACTGTAATATAATAATGCAATTTCCAACAAACGTCTCTACACTAGATTATTAAATGTTCATGTCTGTACCATTAACGAGTTAGAAGAATTTTTTCCAGAACTAAACAGAGCAGTTCTCATGTGACGAATAACGGTAATAGTGCAACGGTTCAAGTGACAAAAGCGTTTATTCTTCTGACTTGAGAGACATCCTGTTTTGTCCTTAAAAGGAAAGGAAAAAGAAGTGCCAATTCTGTATGGTTTATGTCGCTTCTCTGGTTCAGTAGGTTAACTGCAACTAGATCATAAGTTGTCTCCCAAACCCGTTTTTGTTTACATATATCGAATGACCATCAGTGGCTAGTTTATCGACAGAAAGTGGGTGAAATCATCCTTAAAATCAATTTTAACACACAAATTAATAAAAATTTGTGAGAAATGTGAGTAAAAGTTTTCGTTTGTGTTTAGAAGCTTACTTAATGCAAGAACATACACCACTAGTTAGTTATTCGACTTTCCTCTACACGCATTGTAAAGACGATTAATTAAAGTACAGTTGTAGAAAGTAATAACAGATATTAGGAGTTAATGAGTGTTATTAGACAAAACGTGCGATATAGCAGATCCATCATCATGTTTGCACAGTTGGTAGCGTCCGCGAGAAGAGGCGGATATGTTGTGTGTTTGACCCGTCCTCTGGCACGCTTGCTGACCATACATAATACCATCGAGAGGGGAAACTTGTGCCAAAATCGCTAATTACCAAGGTCGGCATCTATTGTCATCGACACCTCGGTATAACTATGCGCAAAGTCACAGAACCTATACAATCGACTAAAGGTTATTGATCAAATTATGATGAAAGCTTTTGGTTATATAATACTGGAATTGTTGACACATTTTCCCACATTTTTTATTGGAGGATTGATGGTGTTGGTTGGGAGCTCTAAAAGGCTTTTTCGATATATTCTTTGAATTATTATCATCTGTAGATTCGATAAATTTTAAATTTTTAAGTTAAGAAAATGTGTAAGTTTAGATTTTTAGTTCAATTGTCAATTGTTTTATAGGCAGTTTACTCTTATTCCATTAAAAAATCATTCATTTTAATGAATTTCTGGATTCATAGTGTTCAGAAATAATTGAGTGAATAAAAGTCTTAGTTTCTATGCCGTCAACAGAAACTCAAAGTGTTGAAAACTAATTTTTAGTGTGTAATCATTTTTCGATAAAATCTTTCACTATTTTTTATTAAAACATTATTAAATAAAAAAAATATTCATTATTGTTCCATCTTGACTTGGATAACATTGTAGTTTTTCAATTATTTTTAGGACATTTTATCTAGGTAAATACACAATCAACTCCAGTCTTAAGATAATAATAATTTCTCAAATCATAAAATTTTTCACTTTTTGTTGGTATACAGATCAGTTTTTTTTTAATTTGTTGCAATAATAATGCAATTTTATTTTAACAGAGAAATAATTCCAGTAATCTTCAAACCTTGTACCAATATTCTCTGAGTTAAAAATTACACTTTTCTATTACCAGATCAGTTTTCAACTCTAAAACCTTAAACACCTTGTATGTTTTAGTCTGATTTTGCAGTTTTGCAGAAAAAATATTAAGTAAAAGTATTTTGTTTTTAAAATCAATTATTTTAAATGTCTTTTCCAATCAAAATTAGTTTTTTTTACTGGAAATATTTTTAAAAATCGAATTTTTAAGAAAAATCTTCAAACCAGGACTAAACATGAATTTCAGTATGTTGAAAAAAATTCCTCTTTGATCGTTATATTTTTAGTTCAATACAACACACAAACGGAAAATCCTTATTATTTTACTTTGAGCTGTTAAAAATACAGTTATTCTCTTGAAATTTTTTAAAAATGTGCATATTACACATCTTAAATAGATTTCACTTTATTTGGAACGGATTTCTCGATCATTATAAGCCATTAATAATTGTAATATTTCTCAAATATAACCTTGTTTATACACTATATTTAAAATGGAAACGTGAGATTCTTACACAGATAATGATTTTGCTTTTAGACACGATTCTCTTAACCCAATTGAAGGAAGTGCAGTAATAGACCACAACCATGTGTAACTATTTCGTGAAATTATTTTTAACCTCGGAAAAAATTATTTGAAGAAAATTCATTTTCTCAAAGTATCTCTCGTGCGACAATCAGCTGACGTAAATTCCAGTTGATTGTTATTTTAATAAAATCGATATAGGAAAGACGTCCTTCGTCTTTAATATTTCATGTGTTGCTGTCACGTGCAGATAGAAATGAGGTTTTCTAAGGTATTTTTTCAATTTTTCTAAGAGAATCTTAAATTTTTATCGCTGCGGAAAAGTTGAGTAATTTAAGTCGTTATAAGACTCAACAATGCATTTGACGGCGTAATTTCGGTATAATACCGTGAAGGTTGATTGTTGTTATCAACAATTTCTCGTAAAACTTTGCGATTGTAAACCTTGACAATACATTCTTTAAATGAGAAACATTTTGTTAATCGATTACAAGCGTTTTTGGGGAGTTTCTTGTAGTGGTACCAATTTTTCTGAATGGGGTTACATGAGACTGCCACTTATTGTATCATTTTATTGATTATCATTTGTAGGTTATTAGATCAAATGTTAAAGGGGGTTGCCACATGGTTTTTCCCACAGAACGTCAATCTTCACTTTTTCAATATCAAGAAGACTAAAAAATTTATACTTATATCAATTTATTTGTTTCAGATAACGGAAAAAAATTTAAGGGGTTTATTAACTGATCTCGAGTGGCTATCACTAACAGGAAATTCAAAGTCAGGTGAGTTGCAAATATTGATTTTCATTTATTCGTGTAATGGGAAATTTATAACGGGAACAATTAAAAATGAATAATGAGAAGAGAAATAAAGAGAATAAACAGGAAAGTTTAACTCATAATTCCACAGATTGTCTTGCTCCAGTGAAGTAACTCTCTCCACTTCATTAATATTTAAAATAGAAATTTAATTTACTTAATTGGTCTGTGTCTCGTAAGTTTATAAATACGAGTTGATCGATTCCAGTTTTTTCCGGGAGTTTGGACAAAAATACGAAATTGTTGTTTTGTCTTGAAAGTTTCGTTTCGGTCACGAAAATAATCAAACTTTCACTGAGTTTACATAAATAAATGAAATACATAGTCGGTATTATCACGTCCTTGCTTGAGGATTTCGAATAAGTTTCGGATGTTTAAAAATTAGCAACACCTCGAAATTCACTTTTCGAATTAACACGATTTCATGCAAATAGTTTCTGTTGTGTAAGATTATTGTTGCGAATGGCATTGGGATTAACCCGGGGAAATTTAGATACATTTTTCTTTAGATATGAGTGTTTTTAACGTGTGTATTGGAGAATTTTCAGCTTTGCACAATGTGACCTCGGCTATTATGAATTTTATATTGTTACGTGTGTGGAGTTTATTTACTCCTACACTATTGTGCACATATTGGGTCAATGGCAACCGGTCAAGATCTGTTTGCTGATTTTTTAGGAACTAAATGAATGTGGGCATTATATTAATTAGGCACAAACTTGTTATTAACAAATTATTTCCCATTTCTTTTGAATTAATATGTGTTATCTCTGAGTATCTCTGAAAATATACAGGTGCGCCAGAACTCGCGCCCCAGAGAAAAATTTCAAGTACGATAAGATACCAGGAACATGGAAAAAATGTTTAAAAAATTCTATCTGTCAAAAAAATTTGACTTTTATTTTTTGACATTTGACATTTTTTTTATGTCTAATGATACTGATGATCTTGAATATGTTTTTTTATAATTATTTAATAAAGGTACAAAAATTTTGCCAATAAAAGCCACAAATAATATTAAACAGAGTTGCAATTTAGGATAAAGCTTCCTTGTTTCCTCTTCTAATAGCCTGTAGCAAAAAAACCTGGAAAATTATTTTTCCAACAGAAATAAATAGAGTCAAACTGCAAAATTTAAACTCTCATAACTCCTATATTTTTATAGATAGAATTTTTTCACATTTTTTCCATGTTTCTGGTATCTTACCTTACATGGCATTTTTCTCTGGGGCGCGAGTTTTGGCGCACCCTGTATTAAAGGTAAATTTTAATATGTACGAGTACTTACTACAGACTATACTCGAAATACAAGAATTTATTATTATTAGATATGTATATGTGAGTCCATATAGTAAGTTGGATCAATACAAATGTAAGAAATAGTACATTACAAGCGAGATGGTAAATATGGCATTGCCTCGAGTGCACAAGGGGTAATGTCATCACCACCGAGGTTTGTATGCACAATCACATTATTTTCAGTAAAAAATTTGAGTAAAATAAAATTCTAACAAAGTTGAGGTTCAAAGGCGGTAGGCCATCCAAATGGCGTTTGATTTTTGATATTTCAGAAATGTCAAAGAAAATATTGAAATAATATGAATGTGATCTGATTTAAAATCGTCGAAATGGAGCAGTGTACTCCCCCAGAAGTAAGAGAAACTGCTACAAAAGCAATTGAATACTAATTTAGCAAAATATTATGCGTAACTTGGCAATTTGAAAGAAAAAAATTGAAAGAAAAAATTAAGGTTGGCTATCCTGTATATTACCGCCCAAGAGAAGTAATATTATTACTCCTCATGAGATGATGTGTTTCCCAACCTTTAAAAGGTTAGTAATCGGCATGTTACATTAGTGATTGTGAATAAAATAAATCCCAAATTTAAAACTGTTTAATCAAAATATTTTTTAATGGAAATGACAAAATAATATGCTTAGTTTCAAATTGCAATAACAGTATAAAAATTTGGGAGTTTTCGTTTAATATGTCGATCACTTAGTTTGTATTTTTGAACAATTGAAAACAATTTGAAAACTACTCATTTTTTTGAAGGGAATGTGAAAAATTGGAATATATTTTTCCAGGAGCTTCCAAATTTTGACAAATAAATAAAAACTGGAAACCTTGATATTAGTAATTTAAACAGGTTGTTTCAAAACAAATTGAATTAAATATGAAGCAATTAAGTTTTATATACATATTTTACGATTTAACAAAATTGTGTAGTAAACAGAAAGTTTCTAAAGTTTATAATTGCATGGATTTAAAAAAATGATTTTTCATCAATTTGCTTACTAGGAAAGGCAAGAATAGAAAAAAAAACTGATTTTAATTCTTCGTCTAAATTGTCACCAATTTTTATCATAACTTACATATAAATTTCAAGTTACAATAATTGAACTTGTTACTCTTGTATCATCTTAAAAATAAGGAACTTTGAGCGAAGTTCTTTGAAAAGCCTCACTCATGAAAAGCGATATTCTAAAAAAATGTTTCTACCACTAATTACAAAGTAACTTTCATAATCTGCGGAAGCACTAATAAAAAGCTTACTTTTTGTTCGCTTGAATGAAATGCGTCCGTCCTTCGAGTTCCAGTAAAACAAACAAAAAAGTAGCACTTCGGAACGATTTTATTTACTTAAAGTGCAGTTTCCGACACATGACATGGTTTTTATGATGTTTCTAACACAATAGGTATGCCAAAAGTTGAATAAAATGAAATTAAAACACACTGTATAGATTATCGCATATGATATTTATGGTCTATTTTTTTAGAATTCTAAGCAGAAATAAAGATACCACTAAAGATTGGTTGTATATATGTTAAATAAGTAATAAAAAACTTTCTATTTGTGTAGATTTGAAACATCAAGATTGGAAGAAAAGAGACATAAATGAATGATAAGAAGACAATGTCTTTGTTTAATTACTCAAATTTGTTTCCTGGGCCAAAACATTGATTAATTAACCATTGTGTTTATGTAAAGTGTTGTGCAATTTATTTAAAAAAATATGATTTTTTTCACGTTCTGACTCTTTACACTTTCTTATTTAGTGTTCGTGAATTTTTAATTAATTTTAATTATCTAGAATTCTAGAACACAATGCAAAGTTTGCATAATAGTCCTAAAACTTTTATATGTATAGAGCCAATTTCTGTGCGGTGTAAATAAAATAATATCATGAACACCTAATTACAGATTATTGTCAGATTCACTAGACTAGAAAAGTTCCCAAATATTTCGAGCAATGTAGTTTAAAGGTTTGATAAATAAACGATGAAATAAAAAATAGTTTTGCAGGATATATCAACTGTGACAATTGCAGGAGTGAAAACTTAAAACGGTTATTTAATATCGACTTTTCTTTCAGTATTTTTAATTTTAGTTTTTGATAAATCAATTGTCAATGCCATTTGATTAAAACACCTGTCTTTAAAAGTGACTGCACACAAATTACCGCTAAATCGGAAACGTATTGTCTGTAATCACTAAAAAATTGCAAATTAACTATTTAGAGAATTCGTTAACCTTCAACGCGAGGGTTTACAAAACTGTAAATTGAATTTTCTTTTGATTTTCCACTATAAGCTGTACATTCTTACATACATCAAAGCACAATTTGATAAGGAAAAAATCCGTTACGATGCTTGAACACTTGAACAGTCAAGTTCTAAAGTTCATGGAATCGTTTTAGCGTAAACTACTTACAATTTCATTGTCCGTATTTCCGAGTTGTGAGGTCATGTTAGTATGCACATAGCATGGAAATATTTAAAATAAGTAAATGAAAATTTAAACATTTGAAAATATCGGAATTACTTTGTTTTTATTTTAATATATTGTTAATGTGCATAGATGAATGCATTCAACATTCTTTTTGAAAGTAGCTTGCGGTTGTATTGACTTTGAAAGTTTTCTTACAATATTTGAATATGTCACGACTTTTGCTTTTTGTTTTAAAACAGTACTAGGAGCGCGCGCTAGAACATTTCTCACTACACAAAGTGACCCATCTACAGCTCCTCCGCTTAATATTTTTATAATTAAAAACTAAAAAAAACAAATATTTTGAGTTTCTATTACTGACATTGCAACTATTTTTTTTCTTTAGTTTTATTAAATAAATATCACGTTTAAATTAAATTAAAATATTTTTATACAAGAATTACCGATCTTTAGAGCTATCAACAACAACTTTGATACTCGTATACCTTATTAATAGGGTAATACCTACTACAGCCTTTAAAACCTCATTTAAATTTTTTATTAATTTTAATAAATCATATTTATGTGCTCATAAGACTGAAGTAAAATAAATACATTTCTCGGAACGCGTTTATGGCGAATTTATTTTAGTGAATTGTTTAGAGTATTATCATAAAAATGCTTACAAGTTGTAGATATGTTGCCCAGAAATGCCAAAACTCACACTTTGACGAACAAGAAACATGTTTAACATTCTTAAAAAAATATAATTGCAATAAGCTGCAAGTGTTGCTACCTTGAAATTAAACGTAAACTCAGTATTAATCAAATTTGTTTCAACCATTATCATATTGCTGTTTCATTACTTCATTATTATTTAAATTGATTATTAATTACAATACGGTATTTGAAGAGGCCAAAGCCTGTTACTTTTCATTGATAATAACTCACAATAACTTGACCTATATTTCGCTGAAAAGTTGTGACAAATACTGCAATGATATTAAGGAGTAACAAAAATGTTAACAGCGGCATGAGTTTGTTTAATCAATAAAATTTATTGCAACGTTAACAGACATTTATAATTTATTATAGATCCTCGTAAAAATGCAACATCTGTTGAAAAGGTGTAAGAAATGAGTAAGACCAAGAAATCATGTCGGTTTGCTTCAATAAAGACAACTATTTAACGTTTAATACCATGTGAATAATTAAACCGACATGTGATTTAAATTGTTAACCTGTTTACGCGCCCAAGAAAAAACACGATTAAAAATAGCCAAGAAAAATGACTTTTTGTTTGAAGGAAAAATAATAATCGTAAAATTTCGTGTAAACTTGAATTGATAATGAATTACTTCTTATTTAAACGTCTATATGTGGCTAAAATTTCTGTAATTATTGTAAGTTATGAAACACACTCGGTAGATAAAATAAATATTAAATTTACAAGTGTAGCCCATGCAATTTTGTTTATTATTACATCAAGTGAGTTTTTTTTTAATACTTAACATGCATTATTACCAGCAACCCATTATACATGAATTGTATGAAATAAACACTGCGATTTTTAATTCTTTATCTTTTGATTTTTGGTTGTTGCACCAGCCTATTGGGCAAACAATTGTTACCCGCCGACAATTTGTTCGACCACTATTTCTAAAATTGTAGGAAGTAATTAGAAAATTGCACGAACTCGTCTTTAACATTTCCATTGTTTATTTTTTCCGCATTACCTAATAATTACCTAGTATTGTTTTTTTATTTTTCAGGATCGAAATTGTCGATAGCCTACCCACGTTTAACAGCCAGCGATCAAAATGCCTTAGTCAAAAAGCTTCACGTTAAAACACCCGAAAATGAATTTAATATAGAACTAGTCCCAAACCCAGATCTCTTATCAAAAAATTTTCTCGTTTTTGAAACGTTTGCGAATGGGTCGTATCCCATGCACTTTGTCGAAGATGATGCTAAATGTCACTATATGGGAGAAAAAGCGGCACTTAGTTTATGCAATGGAATTGTAAGTAAATTCACGATGCAGGTTTTGCTTTCTTCTCCTAGCATTGTATTCAAAGTAGAGGGTGTTTCACTTAATGATAGTGACAGAAATTCTTCTTCAATGTTAAAATAATGTATAATTTATCCTGCTTACGAAGTTTCTTTGCTACTTATGTTTATTATGTTATAAAAACAAATAATTCGAGTTAATTAATTCTCCGCACGTTTTTCTTCTAATTTTTCTTTTGTTTTTCTCTTATTTTTGGTAATTCTAAAACCGTAATGACTATTCATTTTTTACCATTGTTTTGTGTTACCATTTTAGAAAGGCATTTTACATTTCGACAAAGATTCATTCTACGTCATCCACCCATTACCGAAGAGGTTTCACAACAACACATTAATCCACCCCCATGTCATCGTTCGCAAACAGCACAACAAAGCCTGTCTTCACCACAACACGACACTGCCTGAAGATACTCCAAAAGCAACCAAAGATATAAAGGCCAAAGTAAAAAGTCTGAGCCGTTCAAAAAGGGAGGCTCTCCCTTTCGGCACTCCTGTTTTCGTAGAAACTGCCGTTTTTGTAGATAGAGACTTATTCGAACACATGAAAACTAATTTTCCTGTAGAAACTGAAAGAGAATTGATTCGGTTTGTTCTCGCCATGATAAATGCCGTAAGTGTTTCAAAAATACTCCTTCTGTAGTTGATTCAAGGATTTAAGGTGCAATTACTTTATCACGACCCCAGTCTTGGAAGACCGGTCAATTTTGTGTTAAAAAGACTTGAAATTTTAAAAGAGGAAGCCGCAGGTTTGGTTAGACCGCCTGACATTGACAGATTTTTGTCGAATTTTTGCAATTGGCAAAGAACTAAAAATCCAGTGGGGGATCGGGAGCCTCAGCATTGGGACCATGCTCTGATTTTGACAGGGTTGGACTTGTACGTAAGGGGCAAACATGGTAAAATATCGAACCAAGTTGTGGGTTAGTTTTTATCCCATCAAAATGTTTGCATTTTTTTTATAAAAACATTTTAGGTCTAGCACCGGTTGCTGGAATGTGTACTACGACTAGTAGTTGCACTGTTAACGAAGGAAGGCATTTCGAAAGTGTCTATGTTGTTGCACACGAAATTGGGCATAAGTATGTTGACCTTGTTTAAATTTAAGACATTAGTCTTATTTTTTTTTCTGTTTAGTTTAGGAATGAGGCACGACGGGCCTCTGGCTGATAACGACTGTGATCCCGCTAGTTATATCATGTCACCAACTTTAGGAAGTGGCAAAATAACATGGTCTGCTTGTAGTAGAAGATATTTACAGAAATTTTTAGAGTGGGTAATTTCGAGTTTTTGAGGATGAGATTATTGAATTTTGTTTCTAGAACGTCACAATCACGGTGTTTGCTAGATCATGGGAGTTCAGCAGGACAGCTTGATCATAGTGCTGAAGGAGCATTGCCTGGTGAACGATTCGATGCTGACCAGCAATGTAAGTTGATTTTTTGTTGGTAAAAATAACAAACACTTAAGGCTATTCTAAAATTACTTGTTATCAAATTCAAATACGTGGGGCTTTGGGGGAAATGAGTTGTTTTCCTCATTTTCTGTTTTCTTTTAATAAAATTAAAGGGACATAGAACAAAATTGTCCATTGTCCTGTGAAAGATATTTCGCTACTTTTGTAATCGTAGCACTGAAAGAGAAAGGGGGAAAATATTTAAGTGAGACTTGATTACTTTAATAAAAAAATATTAAAATTGGGAATGTAATTTCATATAGTACATATGGAGGTAATAAAATTAAATGTAATCAATTTTCCGTAATGTATTTATTTAATGGAAGAAGATGTTTATAAACTTTCACTTGAATAAAATGTCAATTCGCTGCACTTATGCAATTTGATATATGTTCGCTAACCTTTATGCAATTTTAATAATTTATTTTATTTATGAGTGTGTTGACATTATATTCTTTAATGAAACATCATCCAGAGTAGAGAAAGAATTCTTAAAAATCATTCTGATTGAGTAAATTTTGCCAGTTATTAAATTTTAGGTAGGTACTTATATTTAACATTCTGCATCTAATTGCCTATTTTTTATTGGAAATATTAATAAACAAAAATTCCACTTGCTTAATTTAAGTGAAAATTGGTTTGTTTCTGATAAGTTGGTACTAAATAAGAAAAAAACGGCATCAATATTGTTTCTTCTACCCCAGACCGAAAATGAAATAAATAATCATCAGTATCTGTAAAATACTAAATTTTTAGGAGTGTACAGGGTGCTGCATTTTGGATGTCCGAATAGAGAATCGCCGAAACTAAGAGGTTTAGCCAAAAACCAGTAATACATTCTGGGGCTCATTTTTTAAGAAAATAATATTGTTTAAAACCGCAACCCGCTATCGTCTTTTGTTTTCGACTAATAGACAAAAATTGCCATTTTAGCGAAATCTAAAAAAATTCATATCTTCGTTATTATAGAAGACACAGATTTGAAATAAAGACATTATATAGGCACTTTTTTACGTAGAATTAAATAATGTAGTTAACAATTTTTTTCAGTTGTTTGTTTAGTCGTAATAAAATAAACTTTAATTTTTTTTAAATGGGAATCATAGATGGCTATGTCCTTTTTAAAAAGCTTGTTTATTTCTATTCTAAAAAATATATACATATTTGTAACAAATTATGATAATACATTTTTAGCAAAAGTTATCTTTGATTTTTGTTCGCAGTTGGCCATGAAAAAATGTTGCATCTTCAACTAAAAGGATTTAAACTATATTACTCAACCAGTGTCAGTAATAAAAGAATTTGCTAAGTACAAAGTAATGAAAAAAATGCAAAATAAATCGTAAATCAACTTATTGGCGACTAATAACATTTCTTTGTTTTTAAACAAGCTAACATTACCAGTGATACATAGAGTGTTGTAAAAAAAAGCCGCTTTAATTCTTCAATAAAATATATTTTATATGACACAAAAATGACAATATGGCTATTCAAATACCCAAATTCCGTCCATGTGGAACGTTATCCTACCTCCGTTAGATCACCAAAAAAATGTTTTTTCTAATTGTGTTGACTGTTGACACATTTGTTTTTCCTATTTTTGGATTTTTTAAAAATGTGTAATAATTTTGTTTTGTTCAATATTCAATAAAGTATCGTATTTTTTAAATTTTTTTAATTTTATCTATTTTTTCATCTATTTTACAGTTCACAAAAGTCAAATTGATTATTATTTACACATTTGGAGTGAAATAGTTTTTCCATGGCCAACTATTATCAAACAAAATATGTATTTCATTTTTTAAGTATAATTATAAAAAAATATTCTGTTACAAATATATATTTTTAGATCAGAAAAAAATAAGCTTTTCAAAATTGCCATAGCCGCCTATAATTTCCATTTAAAACAATACAAGTTTATCTTATTACGGCTAAACCAATAACTGAAAAAAATTGTTAACTACATTATTAAATTCTACGTAAAAATAATGTCTTTATTTCATATCCGTATCTTCTAAAATAACGAAGATATGATTTTTTTTAGATTTCGACAAAATGTCAACTTTTGTCTGTAAGTCAAAAACAAAAGACGATAGCGAAATGCGGTTTTAACCAATATTATTTTCTTAAAAAATGAGCCCCAGAATGTATCACTCGTTTTTGGTTAAACATCTTAGTTTCGGAGATTCCCTATTCGGACATCCAAAATGCAGCACCCTGTACATTGACTGTGTGTTAATGTGGGGCAAACATGGCAAATACATTGCTAATAAAACTTCTAAGAATTCTATTACCGAATTTGTTAACAATTTTTCTAATAGTCAACTTAGAGTAGCTTATTTCTCTAATAGGTATACACTGCCATCTAAAGTACGGAATATTAGTTTGGGGTCATTTATCAGTTCTCCAAAGACTTTTTTGACTGCAGAGTAGTGCAGAAGCGGATTAATTAGAATTTTTGCAAATATTCCATACCAGGCTGATTGTAGAAGTTATTTTTCAAAATTAAAAATTCTGACTTTTTCCAGTACCTATATCCTCAAGTATGTGGAACATATCTTAAAAATAAAGCACTTTACCCAAAATTGACATCATTACATAAAATACAAGAACTGAAGTCACAGTAGAGTATTAAGATTAAATAAATCTCGCGACGGTGCAAGTTACAGTGATGGACAGTGAATTTCGTCCACCCAATTTCTGTGAATTCACAAAAATTCACTGTAGTTTGTGCTTTATTGTCAGGTTGACTGACATTCAAATACGTATTGTCAAATTTAATCAAATTCGAACATGCCAGCAGTAAGTGCGTTTAATAAAATAAAAATTATCTCTCTGGTATAAGAAGGTATGTCTCAAAGACGTGTCTTCATACTTTTGGGCATACCAAGGACTACCATTTCAAAGGACAAAGGTAAAAAGTAGCAAGAATTATCGAGCCTTCTCTCAACATGACAAACGTTAATCAAAATTCTGAAACAAGGTTAGTAAAACCTAAAGACTAATTTACACTTTTAATCTTTCAAGGAAATTGGGTGGACGAAATTCACTGTCCATCACTGTACTATTACATAAAATTTTATAATGTTATTTTAAATATGATTTAACAAAAAAAAGAATAAAAACGCTATTAATTGAGAAAGAAATTGAGAATCGAGAAATTTTTAAATAGTAATTTTAAGTGGCATCTTAACTTCTACATTTGCACATATAGTATCTACCTACAGCAAACTAAACAATTGTAAATACCTAAGTATACATAGTGATTCAAAAAACAAATTTCATTTACCCCTTTGATCCAATTTAAATTAGGATTTTTGCAAGTTGAATCCAAGTTATCTTATGTCACTCTGACATCAACGCAGAGAACGATCATTAGTGCCATTCAGTTCTGGCGGAATGATAGAGAAATTAGAGAAGTCTTTTCGGTGTAAACCCAATACAAAATGAATATGAGAATGAAACATTAAAGGTAGGCAAACAGTTTTTTTTATAAATCATAAATTGCACTGTCAGAGCAACATAAAATAACTTGGATTGCAAATGCAAATCGTAATTAAAATTAGATCAAGACGTCAATGAAATTGTTTTTTGGGTTGCATCGCCAGAACGTCGAGCTCATTATCTTATCATCCTGTATTAACAAACAAATAAATATTATTATTATTTTTAAACAGTAAGTAATATTAAAGTCAACTCCACAAATCGATAAATTTTATTTAGTCAAGTTGGGACATGTTTCGGCACCCTTGCGCCATCATCAGCCTTATATTAACAAAACAAAAAGACGCCATTGAAAATTGTTACACTTTAAAATAAAAAATAAAAAATTTACAAGATTAAAAATTTTAATGTTCACTGTTATGTTAAAAATTTTTCCTGATTATCACAAATGGAAAAATATACAGAAGGAATAGGATTTAAACATTATTCCTCTGTAAAAAAGTAAAAGGACGAGCTCAGTGAAGCTGAAGCCTTGCCCGTGAAAATTTTTGAAGAACGATAATAACAAAATGAATATTATTATTATTTAAAATCTTTATAGTGGAACTGCAAAAAGCAGGAAATTTTTAATTATCCATATATCTTATTAAAATCATAACAAACTTTCAAGCAACTTCAATTTTTAAATGTGTTTTTTTGTATATACAAACTTAGAAGATTTTTGAAGGATTAAGTAAACATATGTTTTAAGCAAAAGATAAGATCGGAATTGAAAAGACAACTCAGTTGTTTCCCAAAGAAAAGGAAATGAGAGCAAGGAAATGTTCAATTACTTAAATTGTTATTTTGCTTCTATTGGCTTTATAGAGTGTTTTGAGAAGTTCCTGAAACTATAGCTATTCAATATTATGTGATATTAGAAAAATTGAAAGCTGTTTAAAAGAAATTAAATTTGTTTTGTTGTTTCGAAAGAAAACGATTTATTCCACAAAGTGTTTACGTATTATTTGCATAATAGGCATGTTAAAATACGGGCGCGGCAGCCGCCACTCCTCCCAACAACCCCTCGACGACGTCTGTCGCGATCTGCACTGCGAACGTGAACGTTACACTTGGACATCCCATCCCGCTTTGGAAGGCACCATGTGTGGACACAATATGGTAAACCACCTCTAACCAAACCTAAAACTCATTTCTCATTCCACCACTTAAATTCCCCAGTGGTGCAAAGGCGGCAGATGCATTTCTCGCGGCTATCCCGTGAGTGCCGCCTACAGCACGGCCTCTCATACTCCATCACGTGTGGAAAAGACTTCCGGAACTTGGAGTAAGTGGAAACCGTACAGTGACTGCGCCTCCGGGTGTCTCTTCGGCGAAGAAGGACGATTACGGTCTGGGAGTACCGGAATTATGGTTTCCAGTAGAATTTGCAACAACCCTCGGTGTGTTGACATCAAGAGACAATTAACTGTTTTAACTGATATGGGGGTTTCAGCGGAAGTGGTAATTACTGTGAAGGGATAAGTAAGAGGTACCAGGCTTGTAATGCCCAACAGTGTCTCAACGTTCCTCGACTGACTATAAGAGAGTTTGCTGAACAAATATGTACGAGGGCTAAGGACGTGGATAAAGAGTTGACCGGTTCAGGAATGCAGAAACTCAGCTCGGATCGTAAGAACCTTTTTTTAATTTCTATTTTATTTGTTATTTTCGTTATTCAGAGGCCATTAATATACGATTTTATATTAATATTTGATTTCACAACCAAAATTAAAAGATGAAGTCTTATCATTGAACAAATAAATACATATAGAGGGTGATTCAAAAGTGTCGGACCAACTCTCGAATGATCATAGAAGACTTTCAGCTAAGCATAAAAATGAATTCAGATTTTTTAAGTCTTTTTTGGGGGCTGTTAATTTCTTATTATTCCTTTGTTTCCGATATTGTTGGATTTAATTTATTCTTGAATTTGCTAGTTTGTTAAATGTTTTGTACACCATAAGACACAAATCGTAATTTTTTTCAACAGGTATATCTGTTCAATGTTACAAGATCTGCTGAAGAGCTATACTTCGTGAAAAAAGGCTTTAAGAATTTTTTATTATTGGAATAACTTTTAACTCAGATGGTCCGACACCTGTATAATATGAGTAATATGAGTATAATAATAAAATATAATGAAAAGTGGCGACGTGTTTGAATTTAAAAAAGGTACCTAAGTAACTGAATAGATTAAGAACCTCTTTTATCGCTCTTTTCTTGATTTGTTTTCATCTGCGGACCAAAAAAATAAATGCTATAATGGAAATATAAGTACCAAAATTTATCCTGATCGTGACCAAACTTGGTATGGTGGTAGACCTTGATCTTTTTATTAAGCACTTTAAATATTAGATGGTACAGACTCTTGGATTCGGAGTAAATCAAGAGAAGGGCGATCTTTTCTCCGTTAGGAGACTTAACTGGTATAAATTTTTATTCGGATTGTTTAAATAGAAGAAAGTATTATTTTTTTCCACGAGAATGCACTCAATAGAAGAAAAAAACTCTTTTCTTAACTTTCTATAATTTTTAACACTAAAGACAACTTCCATCAGAGAGAATATGTTTTTGAGGGAAGAAAATATTTATTTCCTTGAGAATCCCTTACAAACTTATGTCTTCTAGGTATCTCATAATTTAAGGTAACAAAAGATTTTGGTAGATTTGGTGTCAGAAACTTCATCTTAAGCATTTAATACCAGTTGGTTTACCATTTTTCACGCATTTCTTTAAAAGTGCCCTTAAATAGCTTCTAATTGATTTCTAAAAAAAGTAGACAGTTTAACTGTGAACAAACTATTTATTTAAGTGAAATTTCATAAGTCTCTTTTAGAAAACATTATATAATAAATGAAATAGTAAGATAAACACAATCAGTTTGAAACACGCCAAGTAATTATGTCAGTCTTTTTCACGACTTTGGAAATTGTTATTTTTGTCATGGTAGATTTTTTCTAAAATTGGCAACAATTTTCCAGCCGAAGAGGCTTGTGTTGTGTGGTGTCAAAAGCGCAACGGCGGAACGAAAAGCCGCGGTTGGACTTTCCCCGATGGTACAGTTTGCCAAACTCGGCGCTCTCTTTACGGAAAATCGAGTTTTTGTATCAACGGACGGTGCGAAGAGTTCGTCTGTGATTCCTACGAAGAAGTTGCTTTCGCACAAATGCCTGAATTATGTCCTGTCGATCGCACCGATAATGAACTCCTCTGGAGGACCGGTCTTAGAGGAAGATCCAATGCAATTGTCAAATGGAAAAGTGCGAGTGGTTGTCACTTTAACTGCATTTCTCCTGGCACTGGTGTGAGATTGGTAATGAGTAAGGGCAAACATGCTAAATCTAGTATTCAGTTGTGCCAACCGGATCAATATGTGAGTAGATGGTTTTTACCAAATTTTTTAAATTATGACTGATTGGATTTAGGGTTGTGGACGGATTAAGTCCCCTTTTCAACATGCCTCGATGATTTGCAGCAAATACAAAGAGAGGGTTGGGAGGCTGTCAGGGATTGGCATGCAAATACCGCCGGCACTTGGTAACTATTTTGCAGTTATAATTTATAATACACATATAATTCGAATAAATATGACGCATTCTGTATTATGTTTTTGTTTATTATTACATTGCATTGGTATATAATACACAGAAAATTAATGTAAATGGTAAATTATTCATCAGAGGATCCGGACAGACCTTGCCGAGTGGCTTGCCAAGATGAGAACATTTCCCACCGATATTATTTAGTTAATGGAGAAGAAGGCTGGTTTCCTTTCGGTACCGATTGTTCCAGGAGTAGTGCAGAAAAGAAAGCTTACTGTATTAGCGGAAAGTGTTTGGTACGAATGGCAACCATGTCGATACTTACACATACTTCTGAAATAATTATTGTTCCTTAGGAATTTGGCCCTGATGATACTCCAATGTCTGAGAGCGAATTTACTCTTCCATTACTGTCAAGAAATCGCAGATCTCTGGAGTTGAATAGCACAAGAGTTATGGCAAAATTAAATCAACATCAACTGGAGCAAATTATTAGTGAATTGAATAGAACCTTGACAGGTAATAATTAGTTTGCACTCTAGACGTTAGTTTATAGTTGTTCTTTGCAGGAAAGGTAACGAATGAGCATCGGTTTGATATCGATTTAAATAATCCGATTCATGTTAATATGGACATGGAAACTGTGCAATATCCTATTTATACTAAAAAGCAATCCAATGACTTATTAAATTATACTTAAAATTGTAGAAACTGTGAATCTTAGGTAGAAAAATTGTGATTATATGATGTTCCATTTTGATTATTTCTTGTTAAAAATGTCCCATGTGAAAGAAATATTATTTTACATGAAAATAAAATACATAGACATTTATTATTATTTAAATGAGGAATTCTGCCTACAATAATTGTCAACATCAACTTCAAACATGAAGGTAGGTACATTTTACTATGAAATAGGTATTTATCAATTTCCCCTGTCAAAAATAAGAGTCCTTATTTAAAATAAGTTATTTATTCTGATGAAATTATTAAAGTACAAATAACAAATACGTAATCTATTTTGATGTAATAATAATTATAAGAATGAATCCATATTTTGCTCGAACTTCAAAGTTTGCGAAAGTTTAGTGTTTTCAAGGTTTCCATTTTCACCCAGTTGACACAGCAACCGTTTCATCTTTTCTGGTTCTGTAACAAAAAGCATCCACAACTGGTTTCGATAACATAACCATTTATCTCTTGCGATGATTTCCTAAAACCGTCAATCAAGGATTGTCTAAAAAACGAAATATTTTTTACCTTTGGTTTCCGTGCACTATTTGATGCCATTTTCAAAGCAGATTGAAGCTTGGCTAACGTTTGATCAACTTGAAAGAGTAACTTTTGCAAACCGATGGGTATTGTAACAATCTGGCAAGTTGGCCCACAAATCAGGAAATTGTGTAGAGTTTCAATGTTGTTCCTTCTAAATCGTTTACTTACATGTTATACCCACTTCAAATGTTATTTTTTTTAAACTTACGACTTGAGGCAATCCTTGAAGCGCTGAACAGAATTAAAATGTTTATTTTTCAATTGGGTTGTTTCAATTTTTAACTTAGTACTTTCTTGTAAAGCTTTCGTCAAAGTGTTCACATCCTTTGAGAAAACAATTTGAAAGTCACGGATCAATTTAAACTTGTCTTCTATTGGTTCAGCCGAAAACTTTTCATATTCCTCAATTTGTTTTAACATTTTTTGCTGAAATTCATGAACTCGTTAAAAAGAAAATAAAGGAAATACAATCCACCTTTCTAAAATAGCACTCCTTCAAGTTCTCTTGGCTATTTTTTTGCATAGCTTTAATAAAATTACTGGAATCCTGTATGTCCATCTTTTCTTGTAAAAATAGATTGTGCATTAAGTTAAAATAAACCAACATTTTTTTCAGACTTTCATCAAGGATATTCAAATTATCTAATCTAGAACTGGAAGAAAATAAAAAAATGAGGATTAAAGCCTAGTAATTACCTACACGTGTAAGTTAAGCTCGTTTTTAGAAAACCTCAAAGACGGTTCATTAACACAGTATTGAGCATATTTTAATAGCAACTTCTCCACAACTATCATCATTTGTTTCTGATAATCTTTACTTTCTTCAATTTCCATTTGAATAAAGTTACTAAAATGCTTAATCAATAAAATAATACATTAAACAACTTACTAACCAATCAAATGGAAATGACAAAGAGTTAATATTAAAAGTATCATAAAATTTTAATACAGAATTCAGGGCTTCCACTTCCATTTCTAGTTCCAGACATGTTTTGCAAGAATTGAATATGCTAAAATTTTATGTATTTGTAATGACTAATGAGTGATTATCGAAATCTTAAAAATTTACCGCTTCTTAATTTCTGAAAGCGTTGCACCATCATTCAATCTCGATGGGTCATTATCGACTCTAATAGCAGCATGTAAAGTGCCAACTCTGCTAACAACATGTGCAAAGTTGTTTTCAAATTGAGTTATATCACCGTTATTGATAAATTTCGGATATTCTGCCTAGAATCATAAATTAAGTATTATAACAAAAATGTTTTTTTTTTTTTACTTACAAGATCAAAATCATACAAGTACGAACAATACTTTGCCACTTGAGTGTACGTTTCGTTGTTAATCTTGTCGAGTTCCTGACTCAACTTCATACATTTTTCTTGTGCATCCTCCAATTCAACTTGTGATTTGATTAACTGAGAAGACACTTCCGAATATTCCACAGCTAAATTGTGTTTTAATTGTCTAAAATGTGTTTCATTAGACAAGTAAATAAATTATTTAAGTTAAAACCTAACAGGTTAATGTCCAGCTGTAGTTGACAATCTTGCAATTGATTCTCCAACACCTCAATCATCTCAATGGCAATTTCTTGATCTAACACATTTGTCTCAACTTGAAACAAGTCTGGGTATTCCGACTCGATTGATTTAATGCCTTTTACTAACTCATCACCTGTTAGAACATTTTCAAGTTGAGAGTATCTACAATAATGCACGATTTTAGTGTTCCTTAGTTTTTGTGGTTAACATAAATTACTCGCATTCTTCTTGTGGTGAGACGTAACAATCTTCCGTAATTGAGGTACAAATCCATTGTAATAAATCTTTGCAATCTGTGTCGAACCAAGCTTTTATAACAGAGGGCTTTAATTTACCGGTTCTAACGTTAAGTTTCTCAAAAAGGGCTATAAGTTCGACTCCTTCGGACATGATTGGAGACAGTAAAAGCGCTATTTTCTCACCTTCAAAACGGGATGTTAACGGTTAAAAACATACAAATTAAAATTATAGGTAATCGCAATTCGTTGACTGTTGTTTTTTGTTTTGAATTTAGTAATAAATGAAAAGTAACTATGTCAAACGTTTAGTTACGTCAAATTGTCAATTGAAAAGTTATGCAACACATAATTCAAAAGGTTCTTTACTAGTAAAGCGGGCTGCATATCTAATAAACTTGTGTTGTTTTATAGACATACTGGGTGATTCAGAAATGTGTGGCTAAAAACTGTTTTTCGAAAAATATTTTTGTTATCGTTTATCCGATTAATATGAAACTTCGCATGTTAAGAAACAAAAAGACACTCTTTGATATAGTGTGAACAAAAGTCTTGTAAAAGCTATACATTTCCGGTGCCAATGGAACCCTTCCAGTTTTTTGGTCACAACTTTTTTTTTCGTGTTATTAACCCCCTTTTTTGATACCAAAAATTGAAAGCCCAATCATTTTTTCATAAAAAGATACTCGTGTCTCATGTTGCCAAAATGTACACTTGCGGAATTAAAATTTCGGGCAGTATTGTTATTTTCATAATGTAAACCGTTACATTAATAACCTCATTTCTTACTCTTGTCATGTTTATGTCATTTTGACTTACCTATTTACTTTCAAAAATAGCGCTAACGACCATGGTTGGTACAAAATGTATGAACGAATGAAACATTAAAGGTAGGCAAACAGTTTTTTTATCAATCATAAATTGCTTGTCAAAGCACTGAAGGCACATGTCACAGTAGAGTATTAAGATTAAATAAATCTCGCAACAGTGTACTATTACATAAAATTTTATAATGTTATTTTAAATATTATTAAACAAAAAAAAGAATGAAAACGGTATTAATTGAGAAAGAAATTGAGAATCGAGAAATTTTTAAATAGTAATTTTAAGTCGCATCTTAACTTGGTAGTACCTACCTACAGCAAACTAAACAATTGTAAATACCTAAGTATGTATACGGAGTGATTCAAAAAACAAATTTCATTTACCCCTTTGATCCAATTTAAATTAGGATTTTTGCAAGTTGAATCCAAGTTATCTTATATCACTCTGACATCAGCGCAGAGAACGATCATTAGTGCGATTCAGTTCTGGCGGAATGATAGAGAAATTAGAGAAGTCTTTTCGGTGTAAACCCAATACAAAATAAATAAGAGAATGAAACATTAAAGGTAGGCAAACAATTTTTTTTATAAATCACAAATTGCACTGTCAGAGCAACATGAGATAACTTGGATTGCAAATGCAAATCGTAATTAAAATTAGATCAAGAAATGAAATTTGTTTTTTGGGTTGCATCGCCAGATCGTCAGGCTCATTATCTTATCTGAATCACCCTGTATAAACAAGAATACCGTTTGATAATGGTATTATAATAAACTGCGTGCAACAAAAGCTTTTTGTAAGTCCCTTCAAATTAGGCGGTGGTACGATTATTATTGATCCTTCTCTCGCGAAAAAAAAGTTCGATATTGTCCTGACTTTGAATTTGTAGGTAAAAATGTACTTAGTTTAAATATTTGTTGTTTCTAACATCATTAAATAAATTCCCAACACTACACATAGAGGTTAGCAAACCAAAAAAAAAAAACATTTTTCTCATTAGACCCATTACACCATTGAGTTTAATGTGTTGCCTACCTATGTTGACAACAAAATTTTTAACTCAAACGCAGTCCATAGTAAGATCTCAATGATTATCAACCGTGAAATATTTGTATATGACTCACCCTGTATATGGAATTTTCCTAGTGTAACAATGAAAATGTGTTGGTTTTTTAAAGTGTACTCCGGCGACGAACATGACAAATTTTGTTGTTTAAAAGCACAAATTTCAAAGTTAAATAAAATTAAAGTTATTTCAGTATCTTATGTATACCTAGAAAACATATGTTATTTTTCAACATTTGTCTTAATGGCTTTAATATCGCAAATTTTTTTCTCGTTTTTATTCATATTTTCTACAGTTAAATATTCGAAAAGTAAAAATTCAAATTCAACAACAGCAATTCCAATTGAATTGCTGTTGTTGCCAAAAATAACTCTGCAATTGTTAAAAATAATTCCTTGATTGCAATAAAAGAAACGCTGCATATTGAATTCCAAAAAGATTTTGATTTAATCAGTTAATTTCCGTAATTTTTCATGATTTAAAATGGCTAAATTAGGCCAGAGCCGCCAAGATGCATCACGCATCACATTTCTATTTATACCTTCCGTAGAATGAAAAACAGTAAAAAAAATCCAAAACTTACCGAAGTGTTTACTCACAGATCTATTTTAATCTATTGTGGAGTATAGTCCTTCAGTCATTTCGGAAATCCAAAAATCGTTCCATCTCTTTCTGGGTTATTTTAAAACCGATTGCTAAATCCCGAACTGCTTTTGAGTTTCGGAATTTTCTAGAGAAGTTTTCATGCATTCTAGAATGAACGTTGCGATTGGCTACCATCAAAGTCGCTATAAATATTCGGGCAAGTTCAAGGAATGTTCAGTTTAAATCCCATAAGTGAAGACTAAAGTTGGAGAATTAGAAGTGTAAAACCTAAAGGTAAAATTAATTTGACTGTTTGTTTGAATTGGATAAAAAATGTTTTATTTTTGGCAGATGTCTATGGTGCCTCTCCTTTTCCGTGACTGGTGGGATGACGAAGATTTCCACTTTTCCCGCCCTTCCCGTCTTTTAGACCAGCAATTTGGTCTAGGTCTCCGCCGAGACGACCTCCTCAACACCTTCAGTTCCTTACCCAGAAGTTCCCTCTTCAGAAACTACGTCCGACCATGGCGCTCCACTGCCCTCCAACGACAGGATTCAGGATCGACCATCCAACAAGACAAAGACAAATTCCAAGTCATACTAGACGTTCAACAATTCGCCCCTAATGAAATTACAGTCAAAACCAACGGAAACAGTATTATCGTCGAGGGAAAACACGAGGAAAAACAGGATGAGCATGGATTCATCTCGAGGCATTTCGTAAGGAGGTATTTGCTGCCTCAAGAGCACGACATAAATGATGTTGTCTCAACGCTATCTTCCGATGGTATTTTAACGGTGTCGGCCCCAAAAAAGTCGCTCCAACAACCCGCCGGTGACAGGGTTGTGCCGATTACTCAGACTGGACCGGCGAAGGCTACGGTCACCCCCGTTACGGAGTCTCAACCCAAAGTTGAACAACCCAACTAATTTTTCACTGTTTTTTAAGGTTTTGTTGATCTATTGTTAATAAATTTCTCCTATGTCGAAATGTGTTTTATTTTATAAACAGAGTTTTTTAAATTTATTTCCCCATATTTTGCTTGTTACCAAGCATTACTACAATAAAAATATCGTTCCCTGAAAATACAAATTTGTAAAAATATATAAAAAAATTATAAAATGTACAACTAAATATTTGAATTACACACAGAGTGCGCCAAAACTCGCACGCCAGAGAAAAATACCATGAAAGTTAAGATACCAGGAACATGGAAAAAATGTTAAAAAAATTCTCTCTCTAAAAATTTTACATTTTTTTTTACATAAAACAATTAATGAATTAGTATACACAGCTTCGAAGGGCTGTGTAGGCAAGCTTCCCTAGCCCGAAGAGTACAAGAAGTGTGCATTGCCAATTTCGAGCAATTTTTTATAAAAGCAAGTATTGACCCACTAACATTGATACTGATCTACCTTAATGTAGCGATATTTTTTTGTCTTTACGCTTTACGTTCCGTAGTTTTTGTTTTATAAATGAATATAAACATCGTGGACGGGTTTTCAGCCTCAACTTATTTTTAATTTTAACTCAGAACTGACATGTTTTCGACAAAAATTAGAAATACAGAAATTGTTATTTTTTGATGAGTTCTATTAGTGCTTAAAATATTTTCTCACAATCCGCAAACATCCTGTATGTATAGATCATTCGTAATCGAGTCCGTAATACTAGTGAACAAACAATGGAGTGATAACTTTTGTTTACATTTTTCAATATTGCCAACTTAAATTTAAAATCACTGGCTACTCTGATCAGAAATTTAATTGGACACATTGTTTATTAGTAACAATGCTAAAATATAATACAGGCTGGCTCAACTAAGACTTTCGGATCTAAAATAATTTATATCAAATTGTTAATCGCCAATAAAAAATGCTATTAGCAAAAAACTATCCTTGAAAGAGGTTCCACTTACAAGAAGATTTAGTTATTTTTTTAGTGTTTAACAATATAATAGTAGTTTAGCTTAATTTTAAAATGAGAAAATATGTATTCTATTTTTTTATCTTGCTTTTTTTTATTAAAACGAATTAAATCTCTACCTTCTAAGTTACCTACATTTTACATTTCATAAAAATTCATTGGCAAATAACAAAGATAGTAGACCCATAACCTGTATAATACAAAGTGACCCAGGGTTGCGTGCAAGCTCCATAACTTTTTTCTATCGAAGCTATCGACTTGGTTTTTTAATGGTAGGATCGGCAATGAGGCACATTCCAAAATTTGTTCCATTTGATACAGGTGTCCCAAAATGAGATACACAACTAACTTCTGTTTTTCTTATGAAAACCCTTAATTTTTGTTCAATTCTTAATTCGCCGATAAATTGTCGATATAACGCACCCGGTTTCTTATCTGTAATAGTTTTTGGCTTATGTCAATTTACGAGTAGTGTCAAAAAAGCGTCTTGCATAGACACACAGCAAAATTCATAACTTCAGAACCTTCAAGATTACTTAACCAACTTTTTTCCAGTCGATTTCTTAAGCTTTAGCTCACCTTCACAGATAAAGGCAAACTCGGAGTCCATGTTCCATCGCCTACTACGATTTTTAGAAAATGACAAATTACAAATGATAATAAGTTGATTTTTTCAAACACAATACCCTATATTTTATTGCCCCATGGCATGGCATTTTTTATAAGCTTCTCGCCAATACTATGGAGTCTATTTTGTCAAATTTGTGATATTTTTGCAAAATAGGAAATCTTGACGTTTTTTTAGAAAAAAAAAATGTTTTTTAAAAACCTTATATTGCACACATCAATACAGTGTCAATAAAAAACAGTAAGAACATCATTGCACATCCTAACTAAAAATATATTAAAATTAAGACAAATAATTTAATAAAATATTTCATGTACATATGCACGTCCAGCATGCACATTAAATAATGAGGTACGCAATACTTTTATTTATAGTATAAACTGTATAATATATAGATATATAAATAACACACGATATGCACATTTTGTTAGTTCACATTCACAGTTTTTTTCGCAGCAATTTCTTCAATTTATTGGCGTCAACATTGTGACCTAAAATTACCAAATTAGGATAACAACCGACTTATCTTCTTCCTATTCTTACGAAATATTTTGCATCAGTTGGATTTTGAAGATTTTAGAGGAAACATCGGACACATAAGTACACTAGTTTGAAGTTTACTAATATCAGCTAAGGTATTAAGACCTTGTTCGTCGAACTCCTTCCACCTGATGTAATTCTGACGCATGTACGTTATTAAATCGGGCATGTCGATAAAAGCTAAAAACATTAATTATTTTCATAAAATAGCGCGCAAGAGACGCGAAGCTCACCATTCCACGCTTCAAACATGTCATTGATGATATAATCGACAAATCCAATTTGCGATTTGGGAATGGAGCAAGTGTTTCTGTCAAACATCGGCATGACCACCGGCAAGCCACGTTCTTTTTCCTCATCCGTCTGCTGGAAATATTCCTCGGCGATCCTCCTCGCCCACTCGACGCACAATCTCAAAGGTCTCGTCGGATTCGAAACGTCTGAACATTTTATCATCATCCTCTTGATCAGAGTGATATTTTCCGGTTGCATCAAAAGCGGATAGTCCTGATCGCCGAGCTCGATATCGCTACTAGACGTTTTCGTACAGAAAACATTAACGAACTTTGCGAGATGCTCAAAATGTTTTGTCATTTCTGTTGCTAGAATCATGTCGATGACATTATGTCTTGCGATTTTGTACGTTTCCCTATCTAAATTTTTAAACACATTCACTCTTTCGTCACCTAAAATGCACGAATAATGTTGAAAAAAAGCGAAAAAGCGTCGACGGGTGAACAACCTAAAGTTAATTTGAACATGAGGGCTGCGTGGTGCGATTCTAAAATGGTTATGTCGTTATACAATATAGCTAATGGATTGTCCGAGTTCGACAAGAACGCGTTAGATTTGCCTGGATGGTCAACATCGTGAGCAGCAGCTGCTATTAAACTTGTTGCCTCGTCGAGTGGGTCCATGATCGATTTCAATTTCTCTCTTTCAAGAAATCCCGCCGTTGCCTACGAGAAAGAATAATCTGGTTTTTACTGATAACATAGAGAGAGGCAAGATAAAGTTTGAAATTTACGCGAGTTCATTAAATGATTTAATTTCATTATTGCAGATTACGAATTAATCTTTCTTTTCACAAAGAGCAAATTTCCGTATTCTCGTCTTTTTCTCTAACAAAAAACTTCCTTAATTTAAAACCAATCAAAACTGTTTCAGACTTCATTCATACTTTTATTGCACCATAAATTGTGAATTCATTATTTTTTTAAGCATGCTCTGTTACTAGAAGTGCTTTAATCCTTGAATCTGTTTCTTCCATCAAGAGTTGAGTGCCAGCCCTTTGATCTTAACGCTCTCTCATTAATCTCACCTAAACCGATACATTACCTGCATTACATCGGCGGCATGTGTGGAATTGTGATACGTATTATCAGCGTGATAATTGGCCTCGATAATAATGAGCCAATTATATAGAACTTTTTCGTCACAATTGAGGACCGCAGCTACGTCGAAATTATTAAAAAGATTCATTCCCAAGTATTGCAACGGTCGTTTTTTCGTCAACTCTTCCAAACGAAAGATGTCAAATTCCCAAGATAATGACTCGTCAAGAAGCTCCTTCAGCTGTGCGGGGACTTTAATCACGCCACCTTTCGATGGTCGATACACCGACGAATCGTTACTGCTTCTTCGCGAAGACAGAGCCAAGGAAGGCTGAGATTGTTTCTGAAATCGGTGGATTGAGGCTAAAATCAAAGCTAAAATGGCTGTAAGCTCTTACAGAGAGTAAAGCCGAGATCAGCTCCGATACGATGGGCTCATCGTGGCGGTCTTCTTTCACTTGGGGTGCGTATAATTCGGGACCATGCAGAATTTCTTCGACCCTTTCGAGTAATTGGACCAGTTGAGGGTTCGCCGAAGATGTATCTTTCGCTTGATCGATCAGAGTGATTAACTGTAAAACGATAAAGTTTCATTCAGGGGAGTACCTACTAGAGTGATTTTGGATTGAAATGTCTACAAACTTGAACAATAAATGAATTTTGAGCTTTAACTTTTATTCCTTTAAAATGAAATATGTGTTTTAATTAAATTGTTATTAACGTGAATGCACTTTTTAACGGAAATTACATTTTTCTATTATTACGTCATACTCATAGAACATTTCTCTTCCAAAATGAAATTATTCTTTTATAAAGCGTTCTATATTTTAATCAAAATGAAAAATAGAGCAAAATCAGTTTTTTCTTAGTTCGTTTAGTTTTTTTTTTTAACATTATGACATCCTATATTTTGTGATCAGACAAGAAACTCATGTTAATGACTTTATTATAAAGCTTTTGTGTTAAGAACTTTAAAAATAAAAATTTTCATAATTATTTTGTAAACTAAGAGTAATTTAGTAGGAGTACCAGTTTTAGGTATTATTATCTGTTATTACGTTCCAAATGTTTTAAAAATTGTAGAGTTGTTACATTATTAAACTGATCGATTATCCGTCTGACCTAACTAAAACCACACAATTTTTTTTCTATTTTGTTGTCGCTATGAGCATTTTGTTTAACTGAAAACAGTTGCATAGGATGCAATTTTGTGACACTGTTTTTTGGCGACATTTTGTGTAATATTTTGGTCATCACTGGCCATAGACTGTCGTTCTTAAGTGAGAAATTGTTACAGTTCAACATATTTCACCGAAACTAATATAATTTAAGCTATTTTTGAGCAATTTAGGTACCTACCACATACGCCAAATGTAAAAAACTGTAAAATATAATAAATTCAATTTAAAAAGCGCTCAATTGTAAAAAAAACGTGTGTTACAACCTCTCATTGTGATACTTGTGCATTTGTAACACTCGTACCACAATGAGAGTGTTTGTAACACTTGTTTTTTTAATATGTTTATGTGTTAAATCATGTAAAGTAAGATACCAAGAACCAGATGGGAAAAATGTTAAAAAATTCTATCTACAAAAATTTCAAAATTATCGGAGTTTAAAATTTGCACTTTGACTATTTATTTGTTAGAAGATTAAACAAAAAAGCTGTATCCTAATGGTAACTAATATTTAACGTTATTTGTGGCTTTTATTGGCGACATTTTTGTACCTTTACTAAATAATTATGAAAAAACATACCAAAGATCATCAGTAACTTTAAGTAGACATTAAAAATGTTAAATGTTAAAAAATAAATATCCAATTTTTTTGAGGGATAGAATTTTTTTAACAAATGTTTACATAAGTTACTTTTCTGAAAAAAAAACACAACACATATCTAAGTGCGAATAAAAAAATCCTACCTTCGTGATAGGAGCTTCCAGAGGCATTTTCGCCAAGGATGTCCTCCTCATGTTATCACTCCCGACACTCCTCACATCTGTCGACCCCCTTCTAACCGACGGGAGACTTCCCCTTGATTGTCCTATCCCGTCGTACGAATGCGAAGTGTCCAAAACCATCACGAAATGTGTCGGTATTCTGCATTTACACCACTTTTATTCCTACTTTCCTATTTCACCTCATAACTTACCGTCCAGCACATGAAATGGGCACAGCCCTGCAAGAGGTTAAAATGGGTTCGTTGCTTTTTTTCTTCAACGTGAGAGCTCCATTCCATTCTCGACCTCTATGCAACGATGATCCCATTGTTGTTATCTGAAGAGCGTCGTAGGCTAACTGCTCTTGAAGCGTCTTGCCCAAAATTTCGTCGGGCTTTATATTCAGATATTTTTCACAGGATCGGTTTGCGTACTGGTAATCACATTTTAAGTACAAGTTTCATCATTGCAAAGGAAAGTTTTCATTACCTGACATCTATAACTATCGTCGGTTATAATGACGACGTCTTTGCATTTATCCAGAGCTGCATATACGGACTGGCAGGTCGCGTGTTGGGCCATAGGCTGGATATCACTGTGTTTCAGTTGGATGATCTCGTTGACCATCCAGATTAAATTCGTATTCTCTACAATACACTAACAAACGTCTGTTAAAATCTCGCTTTAATAACTATTAATAACTAGTTTCTCGCATGTATTACTGACTTTAACTGTAGTTAGTATTAAGTTCTTTTACCCTATTAAATCCGGAGTCCAATAGCGCCATAATAGCAACATCATCTTTTTCAAATAAACTGAAAAAAAAATCCATGATTAAAGAACGTGGACTCAAATATAAAATAACAGGATGTTCGTTAAGATCCACACAAAAGCATTGTGTGTTCTCATAATACTCACCTTTTTCTTACGACAGCTACCAAAGCCGAATGTTGACTTCCCCTCGTGTTTCTGATTGATCTGAAAAAACACGCAATTGTACAATTCTCCGAGCTGGATGCTTCGTGGTTTTTATAAAACTTTTCGTTTCTTGTAAATGCACAAAAAATTGATATTCCGTGCCACATTTTCGTATTGTCGCACCACTTTTCAGCTAAAAATTGACATCAACCTAATCCTTATCCAATTCCCGGAACAGAATTGCCAATTTGTATTTGTAATAGAGGAAAAAGTGATTACACAGTTTGGCGAAAGAACAAAAATTCGAGCTTAGTTTGGCCTCAAGGTATGAAAACTGCCATTACAATTTTCTTTTAATGTTGTTGCAAAAAACAAATAGGTGATATAAATGTTCAAGAAATACTATAATTTTTTAGTGGTTTTTAGATTTTTGTTTGTTGTTTTACTTATAGCGTTAATTTAAATTTTTGATAAATATGATTGTGTTAATGAAAAATTAGAAAAATCAGTTTATTGATTTTTAATAGAGTATTAAATAAAACCAATAGGTTGCACATTAATATAAAAAAATATTTTTAATCTTCGACACTGTCAAAATTTACGGTTTTTCTCCTATGTAAGGAAGTTTTGACAACTGTTAGGCATTTCTCAATACGAAACGTCAGATTATTTTTAACAGTTTTAAAACAATTTAAGCGCTGTTGAGTATAATCCCAAGAATAAAATGTTGTATTCAACTCGTCTGTGTAAATCCATTTATTCCACCTCGTGGATGAGAAACCATTCATTAACACTCGTGATTTAAAAATCCACTCGTGAAATAAATTGTCCGATTTACACTCAAATTCGTGGAATAAATAACTATAATAATAATAACAATAACTTAAAATTTTTAGTAAAAAGTAAAGTTTTTTTTACAAGCTATTGCCACAAAACTGTAATATTACGTAGGTACTCAATGTCAATAAAAAACACAAACACCCATACAGAGTGTTTTATAAAATTGGGAGATTGAAATTCCTTTCTTTAGATTCTCGATCTTACTTTATGAGTATGTAAATTGGTTTGCCTAGCGACCTGAAATAATAGGTAAGTTAGTTTACACACAACGAATTGCCGATTTGATTTTCTAATCTAAGAGTCGTCTGTGATGAATTGAAGATGTTTTCATTTCATTACAAAGTTGGAATGTTTATGCATTTTAACATTTTCGAAAACAATAATAGATTGAATCGTCTTTCATAGCATCCCCACATATGTATTATACGATATCTCTTATTATGTTTGACACTGAAAGCTACAAATCTTTTTTAAACTATAAGCGAATGATGAGTCACTGTATAGCTTCAAGCACACATAAATCGGATGCGGTTTGGGGTCTTGAATACGAACAATTTGCTTGAGCGCGACAATTCAAACCTTCCTATTTAATATATTCAGCGAGGCGCGCGTACCATGCAAATATCAAGAAAATTGTGCAAAGCTATTCACGGTATTCGACACGCCGCCGCGTCATTCGCGAAATCATAATTCCGTTAAAATTCCGATAAAACGAGACAACGTTAATGTTACATTTTACTTGTTGCCACCAGTTCCGTTTTATTTCATCTCGCTTCATCATAATGACTGTTGATGTGGAAAATTTTTATGCCAATTCCACAAGCACTGATAAATAATTAGGTATACAAATTGCAGAAATGTAACTGACAGAAATAAAATGTAAACTGACGCCTTTATCTGCACACAAAGCTGGTGTTTCTTCAAACCCAAATTAAAGTTGCCTTAATCTAAGTAAACAACAGGGTGCTGCGAAATATCACACGAAAATATCTGGCAAGAATCGGTTAACCAAAAATAATACAATTTGAATATCTTTGTTGTATGTAGCAATCGACATTCAACACTCTCTCGCTTCGGTCATTTGTGCTTCAAACAGCGCTAATGCAAAAATATGGCCTTTTCATATACAGTGTGTTCCATCTGAAACGACTCTTGTAAAAGATAAAAAAAAAAATTCAGGCAAATTTTAATTTTGTGAGGGCAGCCCTGCTTGGTTAAAGACTAATTTCTAACATAATTTTAGTTTTGAAAAATCAAGTATGCCATGGAAATTAAAAAAAAACTATTTTTCTATAATGTAAACTGCCCTTTGTGTGGCAAATACGAAAAAAGTTATTAAGAAAAGTTGTTTACAGTCAACATCTAGGCCCGTATATCAAATTTCAAAATCATCGACCAACTATGAATTTTATTTTTTTTATGTTTATTAAATTCACAAATCAAACAATTTTGTTATTAACAGTTTTTTTTATTACGAATAAAAAAAAATAAAAAAAGGAATTATCTAGAAAAACAAATGAACAAGAAGCTCCACTCTTTCATACAAAAAACATCGTGGAAAGTGACAACAGTGGCGATGGCTGTGGCATGACATACCTATATGTATTTGCTTTTTCAAACTGAAACACTTAGTTTTATTCAGAGTAATGTATTCCCTAAAAGCTTACACAGAAAAAATCACCGCCCTTTGACAGCTACAAAAAAGAGCCATAAACAGGGACATCCATCAGTTTAAAACCTTCAGCCAACAAAATAAAATACGCTTTGAAGCATACATTCAATAAAAATGCAAAATAATGTTAGATTTAAAGCTCAAATATTTTTACACAGACATCGGAAAATGAGTGATTTTTTTTTATGAAAAAGCTTCAGAACATGTAATAAATTTCAAGAAATCGATAGATCCACTTTTCATAAACACTCCGACTTCCGACACATTTCACCACAAACTTATCCAAAGTTAATTAAACAAAATAACTTGAATAAACAAAATAATCGGTAGATAATCGGAATCGCTGTAATTTCCAAGACTTTCTCTTTCATTTTCACAAAGAACCGGTAAAAAAAATTAGAAAAGTTTTAAACTTCATTAAAATGTGGAAAATAAAAGAAAATAATATAAACTTTCGAAATATATCTAAATGTTTTGGCACTTACAAATTAAAACCGAGTGAAAGTCTAATTCAATGATGGCGCTTCAACCTGCTAGCCCTAGCTGGCTGCAGAATATGTAATAAAGCGTGAAATATTTATGTGAAGAAGAGGGAGCGCCGTTTTCGATGAAGATCCGTACTGTTACAATTTCGCCGGAGAATCGTACTCGCAAACAATCGATACAGCAACAAGTGAACATTCAACACCGGGTTCTCCCACAACTGCTTGTTTGCTAATGTGGATAATATTGTTAATTTTTGATAAGGGACAAATCCAATTACAGTTTCGAGTATTTTTCTTTCCTTCCTTTACGTCTCTCAAATCGACAGCCAACATTATTTAACCTTTTGTTTGTTTTAAATCACCTATCCCAAAATGGAAATTCATTTTTATTAAGTATATTGAAATCGGTCAATGTTTGTCATAGTTCGACATATTAATCACTTAGAATCATACGCTCGGACAAGGTTTACGTTTTAAATGTCACGCAAAAATTGGCACACATATTTTCTAACGGAATGTTATTGATTATGAGGGGTTATATAGGATGGCTCGGATGTTTTTAATTTTTGTGATAGAGTCGTAAATAAAACGGAAATTATTTAACGTGTCTAGAGGGTCTACAATATTTAATTAATTACATGCCACAAACATTTACTAAATTAAAAAAGGTATGTATTGCAAACAGGATAAAAACTTTATTCTTTAGAAATATTATCCGAAAAATTTATATGTAATTCGAAAAATTATTTATACTGTTTTATTATTTGTTCTAGAAAATATAATTTTAAAACAAAAACAACACAACGATGAAATTTTGCTTTTGCAGATATTGTTAAATGTGGTATTGTGGTTCTTCAGGTAATTTAATTGTAAGCTTTTCATATTTTTGTTTTTAATAAATTGAATTACATATCTTTATAGAACGGAAACATGTTTTAAAATTGAATATATAGGTGTACATACGTACATACATCAAATTAGCATAAGATAACGCGAAATAACAATCACAAAATAGAAATGAACTTTTATTAGTGAACCAGAATGAGTTAAATTAAAACTTCTGAACGGCTTTCAGATTGTAATTAAGTTTATTGTGCGTAATTCGTTTTATGTTCATTCGTCTTGCAGTTTTAAACTTATGTGATTTACAAAATTCACACAAGAGAAGCAATTAAAGTTTCGATGAGATGTTTAAAACTGAAGTAAAAACACCAAACAAAATAATGATATTCATGATTTTTTTGGGAACAAGCTGTTGTCACTGTCACTGTAAACTTTTGTGGATGTAACTTTATAAAGATTCCGCACAAACAAATTACCGACAACATAGGAGGTATACGGGATTTTCCGTTTTTATAGTTACAAATTTAAGCAGGTGATAGAATATTTAATTTTAAAATAAAAGTTTCCTATGAACATGTATCGAAAAATATTAAATAAGGAAACTACATCCTCTGAAAGGGGTGCATCTGTTAATGAATTTTTTCCAATATTTCAGCAACCATTGTAGATAAAATTACAAAATTTGGTGCAACTGATAACCTTTACACACACAAACGAATTCAAAAATAAAATGTTAAAATTTGTACTCAGGGGCGTCTTAAACTGGGGGGGGGGTTTATCCTAACTATTTTGGCTGTGGGTTCTTGCCACTTTCAGTCACAAAATTCTAAATTCCATAGTTTTTCACAAAAAAGGGGTCCCTTGCATTTTTTGGATACAACTTACCGTTTTTGAGTAAAATCAGTTTACAATTTGTCTTACAGACCATAAAGAGTATAAAAATAAAAAATTAATTTTGTTTCACCGTTTAAGACGCCCGTGATTAAACATTTCGACAACTGATTTTTGAATTCGTTCAGGTGTTTAAAAGTTATCAGCTGTAACAACTTTTGTAATTTTATCTATTCTGCAACAGTGGGAAAACCCTATTAAAAAACGCATCTCTTTCAGGGGGTGTAACTCGCTTACGTAACACTTTTTGATACATGTTCATAGGAAACTTTGGTCTTAAAATTGAATTTTCTATCACCTGTTTAAATTTGTAACAATAAAAACGGAAC